TCAGGTCCCCTGGAGTTTGAATCACAGGCTGTTATAAGCCACCTGGTGCTGGGAACCGAACTCAGGGTCTCTGAAAGAGCATCACCTGCTCTTTACCACTGAGCCAGTTTCCCCCTCCTCCCTCTACGTTTTGACAGAGGGTCTCTCATTGGCCTGGAACTTTCTAATTCACCTGGATTTATTCCCAGCAAGCCCCAGGGATCTGCCTGTCTTCATCTCCGAAGTGCTGGGATTACAAGTGCACTAATATACTCAATTTAAAAAGTGTTCTGGAAGATGAACTCAGATTCCTGTGCTTGTACAGCTCTTTAGTGACTGGGCTATCTCTCCAGTCTCTGACAGCATCATTTAAATGCTCTGTGCAGCTGCCTCAGGAATCTTGAGTGTCTGGCAAGCAGGGCTCACACAGTGTTTGGTAAAGATCAAGATGAAGATGGCTTCCCAGTAAGAAAGACTTCCCAGCAACTCTGGCGCCCATGATGGCTGAACCACATGGCAAAATGACACTCCGTTTCTACATGTATCGGGAACGTGACACGTGATGTCAGGACCATCTTTAACTTGACATACCATTCTCCACAGCTAGGATTCTATAACTTTATGAAACAAGAAAGCACTTCAGACCCCAGCCTACATATGGGCCACCAGAGTGATCACACATCAGTGACACTATACTGTGACTTCAAGACCAAAAGCTCCCCAGTCTCCTCTCCCCCTCAACCAGCCTCATTTCTTGGACACAGGGGGCCCTGCGCACATTGGAGGCCCTGCTCAGCTTCCCTTGGGGATGTTTTCTTCAAAATATATCTCGAAAATACCCCAATCCCCTGCTCCTGCCTGAGGCACCACCAGCTCCCAGCTGTGACCCTCCTTTAATTCATGCTTCAAGTTTTCTACATCTAGAAAAGCAGACCTCAGAAGATGCTTCTAAAGATGTCTCTACATTAATTTCCTCTGGGCTGCCACACTTCACCAGGCCCCATAACTTCATATCAACTGCCCTGATCTGCCCCCCGACCCTGCCACTTTCTCCCCGCTCTGTCCCTACATTCCATATACCATATGGCTTGAATTCTGTTTATTTCATCATTCTAATAAGAAATGTTCAGGGAGAGAGAGAGAGAGAGAGAGAGAGAGAGAGAGAGAATGAATGAATGAATATGAAATGAATGTGAGAGAGAAGGGGATATGACCAGGGCTCCCCTTATTCTGCTCTATATTAGCTGGGTTATATGAGGTAGGACAGCATGCCCTATCTTCACACAAGTGCAAAGGAAACCCATTCATCTCTGGTCAGCAGCCCAGTGCACAGCTGGAAGAAAGAGATTCAGTGGGGTTGGCAGAAAGAGAGAGCAGGGCGAGCAAAGGTAGACAGAAATACAGAGGGTGATTTCCATGTTAACATCAAGAGCATCCCTGGAGCACTGGTAAGGAGGTCTCCCCCAGCATGAAAGACAGAGAGGCAGGCTTTCTATGTGAAGGTGATGGAAGACCAAGCTGTACAAACATAATCTTCTTACCTCAATTAATTAGAATTTTAGACACAATGAGAGAAAAGGGCCACACCCGGCAATATGTCACTGCATGGGCATCTGCCTCTACCTCTGACTGACGAGTTTAGAGATGTACTCTTGTAAATAGAGAAGCTTTGTTAAAAACATTTTGAGCTTTCTCTTAAAAGTCATTATTTGGCTGCAAGTTCATCATTTTCTCCTCTGGCTAGAAGTTCCAGTGACTGAACTTGTGCATGGCAAAGTGACTCTCTGGCAGACAGCAAGAGCACATCTTGTTGCCTTTCATGGGAGAAAAATGAGGAATTATGAAAACAGAGCAACAAGATTTTCCTAAGCAGTCTTTCTTTATCAACGCTGTGCCTGCATAAGGCAAAGCCAGAAGGATGTCAAGACAAACCCTTGAGTTCAGAGAACAAGATTCTGTCAACTGTAAAGGTTAGGACCCAGGTTCCCTGCCTTCCTGACTCAGAGCTGGGAACACTTACAGTGGCTGAACTGCCCAATCTGTGTGTATTAGGAAGGAACTGAGGCTTCATTCTCCAAACCTAAGGGCCCTGGGTAGGTTGGGGCACCAGATCCTTTACTACCCAGGTGAGAGAGAGGAAGGGGACACCAGTAGGTTGTGTTAGGAAGAGGGCATCTTGGGAGAACTGCACTGAAACGACACTTCCCAGTGGCCACCGCTGTTCACATTTGGCTGCTGGCCTAGAACTGAGCACACCCAGTAGGATGGTGTGAGGTCTTGTCTGAAATCACGGTGAATGGGCCACTCATCACAGGTATCACCAGGGGGGTTACCTTTCCAGCAGCACCATGAGCGTCAAGTCACAAGCTGACTGGCCTGGATTTGTTGGGAGTCTGTAAGCATCGCAGGCCTGCTCTTGGGACAAACGAAAGATGGCAATGAAATCCACCTGTCAGGATGGCTGAGTACTGATCAAGCCAGTGGCTGGGGAGAAGGCAAATGGGGAACTAGACAGAGACTGAGGAGAGGCCCAGGGGCCAAAGGACCACAGATCAAGCCAGTGTTCCAAGACACTCCAGGGAAGCAAGCCTCCTCTGCTGAGTTTCCCCAAGCTTTTGCTCGTATGTTTTCTCATGTTATTTTGAAATGTAATATGGATGTTCCCATGTTCTCCTGCTTTTCTTTCCTTGCAGAATGATTCCAAAGAAAAATGAACAGACTGGTGGTGCCATGGGCTAGTGGCTGAGCAATGGGCTTGTTGCCCCATTTTTTTCTCAATTCTTTTTCTATTCTTCTTTTTCCTTTTGGTTTTCTGGGACAGGGTCTCACACTATAGCCCAGGCTGGCCGTGAACTTTGAGCAGTCCTCCTGTCTCACCCTCTGAGCATTGGGGTTATAGGTGTAAGCCACCACCGTGGTCTGTTTTCCTCCCCTGTGGTCTCCAGACTTGTCCGACGCTCCCTCTTCCCTTCTCCTCCTGTCTCTTGCCCCTTGTTCTTCTGAAACAAA